AGCTGTGTCTTCTGCTGAGCCACTGAAGAAGGTGAAGCGACGTGACAGTGTAGGTGAAGTGTGTCCCATCGAGCTGTGACTACACACCACAGCACCCTTTGGCTGACAGCATGTTTATAAAGGTGACACCTATTTTCTTTAACAATTCATCGATAGTTCAGTGAGTACAATGGTAGAAAACTGGGGGAAACCAGGTTCACATGTTCAAACAGCTTGTCCTGCCTGGTCCTGTGTCAGGAACCTGTGGAGTTTACTGCCATAGAAACCTGGGGAAACCCATGAACCCAGGACCTTCTTCCCAGGAGGCCACAGCGCTAACCGCTGCACCACCATGCCGGAGGTTTTGGCACTTTGGCTTTAAAAAGTTACAAATGATGGAACAATAATAGAAGTAGGTGCCAATGTATTTTGAATCAGTCGCCGAGCAGCTGCTACCTGCTGCTTTGTGTGTGGGACTAGAATGAAACCCGTGTCCAGCGAGGATTAACGGGCTCAGCAACCGCCTGAGGTCAGTCAGCTGTCTGGGTAACTGGCAGCTGTGCAGGTGTGTGTCACTCTCCCTCAGTCTGGACAGCAGACGACAACCAGAGGAAGAGCAGCAGCTCTCAGCTGAGCAGCTAAAGATCTCTGACTGACTGATTATGGTTTAGAAAGACATCACCTGGGCTGTGCCTTTGTTATTTGTCTTATCAAAGACACTGTCCCACCTGCTTCAGGTGGGACAGTGTCTTTACTGGACACGATGTCTCCTGAAATCAGTTCTTCTTTGCAGAAAGCTCATTTTTATCAGCAGCTCTGACTTTGGCTCCAAAGTGTTTTCCACACAAATCCTTTAGAACAGAACCTGAATTCTTTAAAAATAGGAGGCAACAAAACATTTCTACCGTGATCACGTGGGTTGGAGCGCCCTTTGCATTCTGGGTACATTCAGCATCTTCTCTGCACAAAGACCTTGGACCCATTAAAAATAGGAGGCAACAAAACATTTCTACCGTGATCACGTGGGTTGGAGCGCCCTTTGCATTCTGGGTACATTCAGCATCTTCTCTGCACAAAGACCTTGGACTTCACATACGACTGGCCTTCAGGTAAACGGTGAGCGCGCACTCTTAGCATCGCGCACACGTCTCCAGCTCCCTACTTTTACCTTGTGGTTGCACCTGGAGTGCGCACACACCTGTTCATAAGCAGCCAGGACACAGCAGACGCTCCTGTGACCGAGGTGAAACGTCATTAGAGGAGATGATCTGCTCTTGAACACTCGAGCTTAGCGCCAGAGCTGGTAACGCGCATTACGTCTCCTCCGTGAGGAGTCGCTGCTCACACACCCAGCCGGCAGGTGAGCTCCTCCTGCTCTAAGGCCGCGCACAGGGATCAGTCAATGATTCACAGAAGTTGTCATCAACCTGCTGAAGTAGACAGAGCAATTAACAGTGACTTTATTTCCGCGCCCCGTGGGCCACTGATTATTACACTCAGTGAGCAGCGTAATGCTGCACGAACGAATGACATTCTCTGGGAGCGACGTGCGTTCAGAGCTGCAGCTCGCACAATGTTCCCACCCAACCGTGACCGTGTGGTGAAGGGAGGAAGCAGAGAGCGAGGAGGCTGCTGCTGCTGCTGGGAGGCCCGGGAGCTTCTCGTAATGGGGGATCCCAAGGCGCCGCTTATCTCTGGACTCCAGGCGGGTTGGAGCGAGATAAGACCCCCATTGATGTCTGTGGGCGCCGCAGCCACCGACACATGTCCCGGTGTGTAATCTGTTGTAGTACATGGTCAACTGAGAGCCTGTCAATGGGCTCGTTATAAAGATGGGCTAACACATTAGTCACGCAGCAAACAGGAGAGGATTTAGCGGGAGTCAACAGGTAGAGCTGCAGCTGCACACAGGTGGTGGTGGGGGGGGTCCGGCCACGGCGAGGCCGTCACAGAGCTCATGAGGAGGCTTGGACCTCAGTGACAGGTAAATATGAAACACCTCGGCTGGTGTCTAGTGGACGACTCAGTCAGGGAGGGGTCTGGCGGAGGAAGCCAGAGAACACATGCTGCAGTCGGTCCCTGGGGGACAGAGCCGTGTTCACTACACCTGCAACACATTAAAACAATGTCCCCACACCTGGAGACGGCGGGGACTTTGTGAGCTCACGTTGCTGACGTCACTGGTCGCTCCCTTGTCATGACGCCTAACAAAGAGACATTAGAAATTTCCCACGGACACTAAATGAGGCATCACTGCCCCTCAGCAGGAGCCTGCTGTGAGGAATTATGGGAAATGTATTTTGAGTTCCTACGTGTCAGTAGATCTGAACATTCTACTGTTACTCAGTTTCCCACGTTATAAAACAGGACCAACCGTTTATGACATGTTTATGGAAACGTCCAGAAAACTTTGGTAGAAACAACAAATAACTGAACGTAAACACACAGTGGGTTAATGTTCAGAAGTACTGAGTAGTTGTAGTAAACCGTACAATACTCCATTACAGGTCAAAGTCAATGAAGGTATCAGTCAGTAAAATGTACTTTAAACAGTGAGACTCTGTTGTTGTTGGTGAAGTGCGTCATATTCATTCCTTTGTCACTCACTGGTACCATTAACCATCAGAGAAACGTGTTGTCCAGACAACAGTCCGTCAGCAAACGGACTCAGCTCGTCATCCTGTCAGGACAAAGACACGTTGACCAGCAGGAAACAGCAGCTCTGACCAGCTGGAACGTGTTAAACACAAGACAGTAGAGATATTAACCTACTGGTGGTGGTGGTAAACCAAATGTCATATCAGAGAAAGGCTGCATCCTCCACTGGTTTTAACTGGTTTATCAATGAATCTGATGGTTATGTTCCCAAAGTCACTGATTACTTTGTTCTGTAAAAGCTCAGACAGGTCAAAGAGCAGGGGGTTGTCTGTCCTACTATAAAACTATTCAACTGACTGATCAATAATCAGGACGGATGCTGATCAATGTTCAGCCTGTCAGCTGATCAATGAACCCACTAATTGTTCCAGCTAGTGGAACAATTAAACCATATAAACCAACATCAAGCTGATCGTTAGTAAAATAACGTGACTTCCGGCAGAACTCAAGGTAAAAGGACAGTGGTTCCCAACCTGGGGGGCAGGACCACGAAGAGGCCTCAAGATAAATCTCAGAGGGCGAAGATGATCAGACAATGTGTTCAGCTCCTCCTGTTTGTAGGAAAGACTCAGTGTCTTCAGGAAAAGCATTAAAATAAAACATATAATAATAATAATAATGGTAAAAAATGGTTCTGCATTTAAATAAAAGGTAAAAGTACTAAAGTATGACTCTACTGGATTATATAACGACCTTTATTATATATTATTTATTTATAGTTATTATATTTATATACTGTACAAGGACCCACGCTGCTGCTGGTTCCCACCGACGTGGACTAACCAGTGCTCCCACACTGTGACCTCCTGGGTCACTGGTTTGGTCTGAGGACACAACAGGAGGAACTGACACAGGACGAGGCGCGACCTGCTGCTGGACCAGGACCCTGTCCTCTGTCTACCGATGTCAGGAGTCCAGCGTCTCAGTAGCTCGAAATGATTTTCAACTGTGAGGCCTGAGTGTGTGCGCGCACCAGTTCACCCTGTGGTTTCAGTAACACACTGTAGATGAAACACGTCGATTATCAATGTGGTGATTTTTATTATTTAAGTGAATTAATCTGCGTTAATAAGGAAGACAACAAATACTGAGCGTTTACACACGCGCTCAAATTATAGTGTGTTAAAGGAGGAGGTGTAAAGGAAGCTCACACACACACACACACACACACACACACTGCTCCGACTGGGAAAATCAGCTGCTTCATTTTAAATAAACCGATTTTAAAAAATTCAAACCAGGTGTTTAACGTCGCGTTTCAGCGTCGTGCACGTCACTTTACTTTAATTTCTTTTAAAGCTGATTTTAAACAGGACGCAGGAGGCTGCACATCGGACACGAGCACCGCGCACTGCTCCTCCTGGTTGTGCTGTGACACAGATGTCCGTGAACTTCATTACTAACTGTTCTTAAATCAAATGAGTGTATGTGTCGTTAATTCTGCCCTAACGTCTGTATTTTGGGGCCTGGCCACATGTTGAAGCCCAGTTTTTATCCTTGGGTTCCGAGAAGAACTGGCTCAGTTCGCTTCACTGCTGCTGTGCGTCCAGCTCCGGGGTCCGTGGAAGTAAAGCCGCTGCCAACGAAGCACGGAGGCGTGTGTGACTGGAGAGAACAGGCTCCTGAGCTCGGTAGAGCTTTACAGGAACGATCCCGGGGACCGAGCTGATCCGGGCCGAGGACAGGCCGCCGCCGCCCGCGCAGCGTCCGGACTGACGGCGCAGAGGAAGGCTGAGGTCGCCCTCCCTGTTTTCCATAAAGCTGATTTTGTGCCCCCGTTGGGATCAGCAGCGTCACATCTGGATCCACATGTGATAAATTAAATATCAGCGGCACATCTGGCTGCAGATGCTTCACTGATTTTTCAATTTGAGAAAAAC